TCGTCACAAACAGAACTGCCCGGTAAACCGTAGGCAGAGAGAGAGAAGAGGACAACAAACGAGGGGCTGTGACAAACTGTTTATATATATATATATATATATATATATTTGTGACAATATATATATATATATATCGTCACAAACAGAACTGCCCGGTAAAACCGTAGGCAGAGAGAGAGAAGAGGACAACAAACGAGGGGCATATATATATGGAGTGCGTATAGTAAGATCACCCATCTCTCAATCTCTTGGATATCAACATCTTCAGATAAGAACAGGAGCACAGAGGTTAGGCAGCAAAGTAGTATCATTGAGTTAACTCAGTTAATAGATACCGGCGCCTTCAGCCTATCTATACAGAGACTCAAATGACACCTTCGGCGCCTTCGGTCGGGGACCCGGCTCTTGCGAGCCCTTTGGTATGTGTCCCCAGGTTTAATAGAAATAACCAAACCAAGTAAGTTTTGGTGAGCTTTGTTATGATCTGTTGGAAATCCCTTAGATACTTGAGTGTTTGGAAAACTGCTGTGGATTTCAGGAGGTGTTTAGCAAGTGTAGTCTTCTCATCATCTCTCACGAAGAAGAAAAAAGGGAGGCTAGAATTGTTGATATAGCATAGTCTTTTTCATACTAATCATCATCATCATCATCATCATCATCATCACTATCAGCATTGGAACTACTATCTCATAGATTTCATAGAATCTGTAGAAGTTCATCATCATCAGCATCATCATCATCATCAGATGAGGGACGCTGAGCCCGGTTCTCAGCATGTTTGGTTCGGTCACTCCGGGTAGACTGTGAGGACCCCGGCCTCAATCTTCCTTTTGAAAATATCAGCCTTGGGCACTGGGCCCGTTATTGAAAAAAAAAAAAAAAAAAAAAAAAACACGTCAAAGAAATCCCCATACCAAAAAAGAGATGGGAATATCTCTCACCCATATTTCAGGGAAAGGTGTCTGGCTCAAGTCTGCCTGTGTTGATTATCTGCCCTTCCATGTGGTGAAATTGACTTCATACCTAGGCTACCAGCCGGGCCGCCCGGGTCACCCTATTTTCCCGGGCGGCCCGGCCGTGCAAGGACTAGGGCAGGTCCCAGCCAAAAAAAACAAAAAAAAGGAATCCAAAAAATCCGAAAAAAAAACTATGTTATGCAGAAAAATAAACTGAACAACTTTTGCCTCAGCAACACATCGAAATTCTTTACCAAATTTAAAATAAAATTCTTAAATTCAAAAATAGTTTTTATTTTTTTTTCTTTATTTTTGGCCCGGCCGGGCAAGTGGACCCGGGCCACTCAAGTAGCTTAGCTTCATACTTAAAACCTTAC